GGGAAAAGGGTCCTGCTGCTGAATTATTTAGTGGAAAACACTGCACTCACGTTTTTGCTCTAAAATTCTGCCCAGGGCCAACTCTTCTTTTTTCCTATTCCAAGCCCCTTTCTAATTTCAATTCATGAGATAAATAAAACATGACATGCCAGAATGTTATGGAAATCCATTGAAATTACCCTCATTCAAGTATTGTCCAACCAGGGTTTCCTGGCAGGAGCTGTATACCAGACAACTCAAGTGGCCAGGGGCTTGTGGACATAGCGTGGGCATGGACACATCTTATTTGGCCTGCACTGCTTGATTTTTTTAAAAATAAATTCACTGCCAACATTTTAAAAGTTGGAAGTTTCATACCAACCCCCAGATGTCCAGCTTGTCTTGAAAAGATAAAACCAGAAGGACGCCCCGGCAGCCTGGGCCTGCCCTCCAGCTGACACCCGGGGCTGGCGCTGACGGCAGCTGCTCTTCTGGGCAGGGAGACTGCTCCCTCTCGCTCCCGTGGTCTCGTGCCAGCACGGTCTCACCTGTGTGCTACCTGCCTGGCCGCGGGACAGTGTCAGCTGGTGACCCCCTGCACACCTTAGCACAGGTGTGGGGGAAAGTTGCACTTCATACGGTTGTATGTTTGGAATGAAATAAGACCTGGATTTAGATGCTGACTGTCATCAACTAGAGACTCGGATCTCTGTTATCCCATTTCTAAGGGCATCCTCATCTGTGAAAGTGGGGTGACGGTAGTATCGCCTTCCCGATACAGCCATGCAGCTGACAGGTGAGTGTGTACCTGTGCCCGACACAACCCTTGTGAACACACAGGTGGGAGTGGAGAAGCACCACAGTTAGACAGTGCATGTCCCCAGGTGCTGCGTGGGTCATTACGTCCCAGCCACCTGACAGTTATCTGTCAACTTACTCCCTATTCAGCTGCTAACATGGCAGAATCTTTAAACACATGCTTGACAGGGACTCACTCACTGGACCGTCTCCTGTTCTGTTGTGTGCCACTGAGTCAATTCCGACTCATAATGACCCCACGTAACAAGTGGAAGTGCCCCATAGGACTTCCCAGGCTGCAGTCTCTATAGGAGTACGCAGCCAGGTCTTTCTCCCATGGGGCTGCTGCCGGATTTAAACAGCCGACTTTCCGGTCAGCAGCTGAGCCCGGGACCTCTGCCCGAGCAGGGCTCCCTCGGTCTTGGAGGAGTGGTCAGTGAGTGGGATGCTGGCTGAGGGCCTGGCCGGGCAGCGCGGCGTTTACCTGTCCAGCTCGGCCCGCAGCCTCTGGTTCTCGCCCGTGGCGACAGCGCTGGCCCTCTGCTCCTGCCGCAGCGCCTCCCTCTCGGCCCTCAGCGCCGCTTCCAGCTCGTCCAGCTCCGCCTTGTGCTTCAGCATGGTGCTGTGCCTGGGGGGGCAGACCCAGCACCCCGTTTGTCCTGGGCCTTCTTTCTCAGGTAGCTCTCACCCCAAATGACTTTGGAGGCTCCCGAGAAAATGGGGTTCCTCTGCTGACCTCTCCCTGTGGAACTGAGGGGGGCGGGGCAAGGGTGCAGGTAAGAAGGCACGCTAGACAGTGGAGAGATGGGAGTGGCTGCCAGAGGCACTTACAGGAAGGCGGCCAGGCTGGGCCAAGGCAGCCAGGCTGGGCCAAGGCGGCCAGGCTGGGCCAAGGCTGCTGGTCTCCAGCCCGCAGCCTAGACTCCTCCTCCTCCTCAAGATGTCTCTACGGTCCCCTTAGACCCCTGTGAAGGTACCCCTTCCTCCTGCAACCACCT